AATTGAATAGCTGGATGAGGTACGATTTCAAGCTGAAGAGATTTTTTGAAACTTCAAGAAAAAGAAGAAGAAAAAAAACGACACTTCTGTAATCATTGCTCTATATTTTTTTACTTTGACTAGATCTGGGTACTGTTGTTTTTTCTTTTTTCCTTTTTTTTCTTTCTTTTTTTCGAATGAAAGTAAGGGAATTTTGAGAGGTACATGAAACATGGTTATCAAATTTCCTATTATTGGAGCTATTTGTTGATTCAAGGCCTTACTGTAGTGTAAACTCCATTTTTGCTGACTAAAAACAACACGAGTATTGACGTTGTACTGGTTAAAATCTGTTAAAACATGCGAGGAACAACTGTTAAATGTGCCTTTCGAGCTGTGCGCTGATGACAGATTGATGGAGTACATAGTATCTGGGCCTGGCTATTTTCTTGGCCGCGTTTTTCTAAATTGAAAGGATAATGTATGTCATGTTACTACAATTGAAAAAATAAGTGTGCCATGTTTCTAACTTGCTACACAAGCTTGTGCCTTAAATTGATCTATGCTTGCAGATCTCTCTGAGATGATGCCAATTCTATTTCTAGTCTCACTGGGGAACCTGGGACCCTAATTTCTGAAATTCTTCACTATGACCCTGAAGCTTTCAGTTGCTCCTGTCCAGGTAATTTTATTTGGAAAAACAACTCTTTCTTGGGTAACTTATAAACAAATAAATATTTGATCTTTGGTAATTATATGGTGGTTTTCTTCGTTCTTTACTCCTTTGCTCTTTCTTTTCTCCTTGTCGTCTGTTAGTCCCTGTTAGGCATCGAGGTTCATTTTATCTCCATTTAATGATTCATGAAAGATAACCACTAGTATACTTACTTGGGAACACTTTGATATTCATGGGTATATAGTCTTTTGGCTTGTTTATGGGTAACTCTAATTAGTCGGAGGCATGCATAGGCAAATGAAAGTATAAAGGTACGTGGTTTTTCCAGAACAAGAAACAATTTGACATCACTCCCCTTTGGCTATTGATTCTGCTTAATTGAAAGGCATTTCCATCGAGCAGCTCATCTGTGTTCTATAATTACTTTTGGGGTAAATTAGCAAAAGGCTATTTCTCAAATGGCTTAAAAGCTCCATCCTTTCATGTAAATCACCTTTCAGCTTCGAATATGACTATCTTGCCCTTGTGTTTGACTTATTTTCAAAAGTTTGGCCTTATATATTGCTATAAAGGCATGTAAAGTAAATAAAAGTATAAAGATGCCACTTCGTATTTTGGAAAAGGTATTCTTGGTTGTCCAAAATTAGAGATAGGTACCGAGGATCCATGACTATTATGTTATATGTCCTTGTTTATTCATTGTATGTGTCATAAAAGTTCTATTGAAACTAATATTTACTCTCTGACTGAGATAGTTTGCATGATGTATTTGATTCAGGTAACCTGTTTCTAGTTAGTAGAAATGTACTAGTATGCTAGCTAGGAATTCCATCGACATTTCCTTTCTTTTTTTTTTGTTTCCTCAGATCTCTCTAATTAAGTGTTTATTTCTGATTAAGAATGGTGCTGTTTAAGTTCCTCAGGTTTCATTAAGAAGCAGAGTCATCATAACTTGCCATCTGAAGGGAAAACCTTGGAGGAAAAGGTTAAAACTGCTGTCCTGGAAGAAAGATTTTCAAAAGGGCCTCAGCACCAATCAGATGGGCTTATTAATGTATGCAATTCCTGTTTGACGATACTTTATGCTTGATGTTTTGTTCTCAGTTGCCCTGTTTCTCTGCATAATTGGAGTCAAAGCTTGATTTAGGCAAAATTTTCAGTCATGTAATTCATGGATGTTATATCTTCATGTTTTACTTTTCTTAAAAACCTAATTAGATAAAGGAAAAAAATTACTCTTGTTGAAGGGTATTTGGTTTCCGTTCCATGCATTTCTGCAGGAAGTTCATGAGAGCATCGTAATTTCATTAACTATAATTTATGCGACGTGTTCTCTACATAAATGTTGCTACACTATAAACAGTCGATTGCCAATTTTTAGCATGTGTACTAATAAATTTCAGACCAATGTCAATGACCTCAATGATTGGGTTTTGCCTTCATTCTTGATGTGCATCTTTTTCTATTTTGATGAATAACACTCTTGGCATCTTCATGATTTCACAATGGCACAATAGATCACTAGGAAAGGAAGAGATAAATCCCACATGAAATCCCTTTGGATTTTTGGTGAGCATTCCCTCTATTAGACCCACCATGTCATTTGCTACTCTTATGAGCATTTAGAATGAGATCGCCTTTGAGCAGCAGGAAAGTTCTCTTAGCATTTTCTGTCTTTTATGGCTTAGGAAATGCATACTAAACCAGCTTATCATGTTTAGAGGGTCCAGTCTACCACCAGTAGGCTGGAAATGGATCTAAACAAGTCCCTTGTTGTTGAAGAGAGGCCTAGCCTATGCTTCTATGGAAGCCACCATGCAAAATAATTTAATAAAGGTCTTATTAAATCTTTCAAATCCTAATCAGTCCTGTTTTGGTCAGATCTAATGGAAAGTCAGCATA